GAGTCCAAAGGCAAATTTACGACATCGATCTCTTTCGGTAGGCACCAGACTGATTCCATACTTTAACAATTTCAAGAACTCTATCTCATACTCTGAAACAGTCATGTCACCCTGAACCAAGTCCTGAAACTGCTGTCGTCTCTGGACTAAGTAGCGCTCACCCAAGAATCGGCTCCGAAAGCGCTCCTTGAAGAAATCTCATGTCAAACGATCAGTAGAAACACTACTGGTCACTGACTCCCACCATGTGTGTGCATTTCCATCTAACATCGCTACTGCCCCCAAATATCTCTTTGCTGAGTCCAAACCCAACTGATCCATGCGTCTTTCTGTATCCTGTAGCCAATCTTCTGCTTCAGTAGGAATTCCTCCAAGCTGTCCTCCAAAAGTCCTGACCCCATTAGCAATTAGAGTCTGCGAAATAGGAACCTCAGATACAACACCATCAGCTCTGACTGCTCCCTGTATCAACTGCAGAAATTGTCTACCAAAAGTCTCATCCAAAGCAACTCCGGTAGATTCTGACTCAATATCTGTCGCTCCTATGATCGGTGTAGTCATGCCAATACCATCGGTAGGAGGCAGATTCGTTGGGGTCGTAGGAGCAGGATCACATATCGGAGGTGGGGGATCTACTCGTATCTCATCGATCGGATCTGCAAATCTAGCCACTCGACCTCGTCCACGGCTAGTTCGACGACCACGTCTAGCACTCATTTTGATGGATCTCAAGTTTACTACAGAAGATAAACTTAGGTTTAGATAAGCACTTGGAGTCTCGAACACAGTTAAAAATTTTAATAACTTTGTGATATGACCTTTGTATTGTTTTGTAAAATATTTCAAAATCGTATCTTCCATGTGGACTCATACACAGTCCGAGGGTTAAAAACCAAAAGCTCTGATACCAATAAATGTAACCCCCTAGACCCAGCTATGCGTTTCGACTAAGTCTAGTGGCTCACATTATGATTCTTTAAGACATTTTTTTTCCGAAACCGTATTTAATCAATGTAAAATCACATTATAAATGACATGAAGTTATAATAAATCATACTATCAAAACTAACTTGTAAATATAATACCAATAAGTAATAAATTAATTTAAACATATCTTAAAATCAAATCACGATAAACCGAATAGTAATAGCAAAAGTGTCATCATATTAAATACCATACTTTAAAATAAGGTCCATGTTAACAAAATAAAGACAACTTGCAAGGTAAAAACATTTCAATCAAATATACTTCAAGAGATATGTTGATCCTCCAAGTGCTCAACCAGGGTAACTAACCACAGTATCTGAAAGGGGGGAAACATTTTCGAAAAGTGAGCTAGGCTCAGTGTGTCCCAATATTATAAAATCACTATAGGTACACTAAACAAATCATAGTCCAATAAGTCTCATAAATTATACTGCAGTAAATCTCTTTAAAAAAACGTTACCCTAAGGAACATCTTAGGGCCTGAGAGCCTACCCAAGATAGATTTCGGGGCCGTGGGGGCCTACCTAAGACACATCTTAGGGCCGCAGGGCCTACCCGAGAATAATCTCAGGGCCGCAGAGCCTACCTAAGAGTCACATTAGGTCTGTAAAATTTCCAGCTTGATCAGAGCTGTACTTTATAAATTCGTATTCCAAAAATTCAATTGCACCGTGTTATTCCATAAATCCATAACATGGTAATCATATACCATTTCAAAACAATTATCAGATAACAGTCATAATCCATAAATCATCACATTAAATTGGTGCATCAAACAATACGAAACCAAAGAATTCAGTGTACCACATATTAAAACAAATAAAACAGTTCATAATAAATGGGAACACACCTCGATAATATGTTCAAATCGTGGATCTACTGATGCTGGTTTCACCACGCTCTGCTACAGTTTTCGAACCTAATTTTAATATCACTATATTACTAATGGGTAACATAAATAAATCTCTAAAAATCATAAAATTTACGAGTCTACGAGTGAATACTGGTATACGTGGTTTAACTGATCTAGAAGAGTTGGGTCGAGCTATCGAACGATCCGGAGAGTCTCTTGTACCTTCAAACAATAATAATTAATCAGCCCCAAATCTTACTTAATTGTTCAAAGCTAGAATTCTTAAGTATATAAGCATTTTTTTTGGGTTTGACTATCATTTTGGGGTATTTCGAGTCTGAATTTGGCCAAACGGATTGCGGAATCGGAATCAGGACGTCGAAAAACATAAAGTATGACTTTTTGAAAATTCAGATTCTTGGTCAAAGTCAACCACTTTGACCGTAGATTTGGAGACCTTCGGATTCGAATTTGACAAAACAGACCACGAAACGGATTCGGCACGTCGAAAACTATCAGGATAGGTATACTCGGAAAAGATTAACGGGTTTAATGCTCGGTCAAAGCCATTTTAAGTTTTGGTCAAAGAAAGTCAATGGTCAACGGTCAACGGTCAACGGTCGGGTCGGGTCGGGTCAACGGTCGGGTCGGGTCGGGTCAACGGTCGGGTCGGGTCGGGTCAAACCGGTTTCCAGCAGCCACTCGCTCTGCGGCGGCGCGTGTGGCGCGTGAGGCGTCCTCCGGGGCCCTAAAAATCCCGGAAAAATTTCTAAAAATATTTTGAGCGATTTCAAGATACTTACAACGATCGGTTCAAATTTTTGAACGGCGGAGAGCTCGATTTCAAATTGGCCGAATCTTTGACTGCACCACCTCCTCACGCGCCGCCGTCTACGGCGGACAAGATTGACACCGGTGAACTCGGAACGGCACAAGGAACGATGTGCGGGAGGTGTCGTAAACAGAGCACGATCAGCGGTGAATTTAAGATTTTTCTCGGCGATAGAGCTAACAAAACCGTCGCTACTTTGACTGGAAATTCCCGACGTTTGGCCGCGTTTCGCTTCAATTAATTGAAGGTTTTGCTCCTCGCTCGATGATGAACACACGGTGGTTTCAAAACAACGATCGGAATTCGAACGGCGTCGGAATCGAGTTTGGAAGTTGTGTGCGTGAGGAAGGATTTGTGAAATTGATTTCTGTTTTTCAAAACAGAAATCACGCATATATCAATTGTCTGCCGACACTCCATGGTTAAATTCAGGGCTTAGTCCCTGAATTTTCTTTAACTTTAAAATAAGCTCTAAGTTTTAAAATCTTTCAATTCAGTCCCAAATCTTCACAATTAAACCCTCAAATTTTAATTAAATATTATTTTGAAAATCGGGTTGTTACACCAGCATAATTTGAAGCACACACCTAAGCAGATATTTAATTAGCGACTAGAACTAACCATGCAGACTTGAAGGATCCAGAGTGGCATCAGGTTTCATGCTATAGAAAAGTAATGCATCACCCATCTTTGGTTTTACAGAAAGTCCATTTCCACATTCAGATCATTCCATTAATAAAAAAAATGAGAATTCATTCCACCAACGTACAACACTAACGTTCCCCTTTGCCAAAGGAAACACCGTCTCTCCTCCTCCTCCAACATGCGAGCTGTAAAACGGTTAAAATAAAGTAAAAAAGAAGCAAATGTGAGCTTTCACATAATGCAGCAGAATAACAAAACACAGTGAAAGTATGTTACGTGCTCATGTCACTTACAGGTACATAAGGACAGTAGCCATGCGCTGGCCCCTCATCCGTGAAGTAGTCATGGTGGGGTTCATATATTTGGCCAACTTCGTAGTGGAGAACTTGAAGTCCTTCCCAGTGCTCTGCATATTATTGTGTTGCCATGACTAACTTTACAACCATGGATACCAAAAAGGAAACCGACCCAAAGCAGAGTCCGAGGAAGAATGAATTATAAAGAAATTTACACCAGTGAAGGTAATAAAAACTAAAAAACAATCGAGTGTGAAAAATAGAATTTCTATTGGTCCTAAAACTAGAACAGACCAACTGGTATGAATATGAAGGTAAAATCCGCAATCCTTTGCTCAATGTCCCTAATAATCTTATCACGTCCTCTACTTAGAAATGTTCCGGAACTTGTACGTACCCTGCATAAAAACATCCGTGGTAGAACAATCAATCAAAGAGTTGAAAAAGATACAAAAAGAGAAAGTATAGGCGATGGCACTAAGATTTACATACCTACTATCTTCAGTCTTGCCAGATTTACTATCAACAACGATTGACTTTTTCATATGAGGCTTGGCAAGATTAATCAGGTATTCACATTCCTCAGCGGGATGCCAAATATCAAATAAAGAACTTCTATCATCAGGAACAAAATTTTTAAACAAAAAATTACTTTTAGGATTAGCTGAAAACACCCATATTCTTAGAATCAACTGCTACTCAAAGTGAGCAACAGGACATGAATTCATTTATTATACTAGTGAACTTATGTGAGATACAAAGAATACAAGAAGTTTCTTTATATATATAGTTCTTTGTACAAGAAATTCTCATTGCATTTTCAATATCAAGTACTGGAATACAAGAAGTTTATAAGATTGGAGTTTGAAAAGGGAAATAAGAGGCTAATAAATCATAAACAAATTTGATTAGTTCACTAGTATTCATTTGCAATAATGTTGCAGTTAGGAGTTAAAAATAAAATTGGAGCGAAAAAACAAATGAAATTTTAAGCCAAAATTTTGAGAAACTGACCAGGAAATTATGGTAGAAGATCTAGTCTTCCAGGAGAGGAGCGAAAAACAAATGAAATTTTAAGCCAAAATTTTGAGAAACTGACCAGGAAATTATGGTAGAAGATCTAGTCTTCCAGGAGATGACTTCAACCCAGCGCTCTGCTCTGCCTTCATCGGCGTAACTTCTGGCAATAAAAAACAATGCCTCGAAACAACCGCGTTTATCATCATCGCCATGTTCCAACTGAACCACAAAATTAAAAAACAAAACTCAACTGTCGACGACGTTATGCGCAATCGAGGTCAAATCGTTGGGTTTAGGCTAATTCCCAACGTCAATGCTAGGAATATAAAAGATTCCGAGCCCCAAAAGGATCAAAACCAGTAAGGTAAAGATGATCAGCATAATCAGAAACATGGTTGACGATGACGATTTCCGAGCTGGAGGGCGCGAAGACCTCGGCTTCGCCATTGTTGGTCAAGACTAGGGAGATCGTGATCAGGTAATTCCTCAACTCAGTGTTTAACGACTGAGTCCCAAGTTGCGTTGAGATTGGTGGGTTCATAGACTCAGTATCGGTATGTAATTATCATCGGGTGAACTTTGAAACTGTTCTCCTTCTTCTTTCATTGCAGTTCCCATCTTTCTCGTTCTTTTTTGCACTTCTCTCACGTATTTTTATCGCCATTTTGGTCTTTCAAATTACATTTTAGGGTAAACTACAGAAACGGTCACTAATGTTTGAGTAATTTTTTGTTTCCCCACTTAAGTTTCAAAATAACTAATTGGTCACTAATGTTATCAATTTATAACAAATTAATCATTAACGTTGTCGATTTGTAATAAATCAGTCCTTCGACGTTAACATGGCCGAAAACCACTCTAATTGGTGGTTTCTCTAAACCCTAAACCCTTTTCATCACTGAAACAAACTATCAAAATTTACGGTTTCAGAAATTGGATACTTGCTTGGAGTTTCAGGTTGGTTTATCTTTTTCTTTTGAGGCAGCAGGGTGGAGCAACCGGCGGTACAGTTGATGAGTTCGATGTTGAAGAATGAAGTATTTTTTATCTGGTTCTGATTTTCTTCTCCAACTCCAAAGAAATGACCCGAGGAAGAAGGTGCAGCCGCCATCTTTAAATAAAAGACTCACCTTCTTTGGTTACTGTTATTTAACTTCTGAGATATAATATCTACTAAAAACACATTAATCTAACAGTAAATCCACATTGAAATCTCATCTAAAAAGGCCAGAAGTTTATTGAAATCAGAAGAAAGATTGACGAGAGAAGAAGAAAAGAAAAAAAAAAGAGAGAGAAAATCTAAGTTATGGACATTTTCTACTTTTAAATGCCAAATTGTGAATAGACTTAGTGTCTTGCAGAGACACTAACACATATATATCATCATTATCATCTCAACCGTATTTTTCTTTCTCTTTTAACTTTAAACTGATTGGTTTTGGTTAGTTTGTTCTGAAATTGTGAAATCAAATTTAAATGAAAAGTTTGAGAGAGATGAAGAAGAAGGGGCGGAGGACCCAATCCATAAGACGCAAACGATATAGTATGGATGTAAAAGCAGTATGGAGTCCTCTTCTCTATTTTGGTAGCATTTTCCAACACACACTTATAGACAAACTTGCTAATATCACCTTTTTCCCCCACTGAGCACTCCACTGTTAGTTAAAAAAAAAGAAGAAAATTTCTATCACATAAGTTAATGAGTGTTGTTAATGCTAAGCTGACTTCCTTTATGTCTGATGATATTCTTGGTGTTGCTTCTCCCATGGTTTATATTGGCATGCTCTTTAGCTGGTTTGCATGGCATGTTGAAGATCCGAGAGCCTATTATGTAGGATTTAGCCATGATATGTTTTTATAGTTGATTTTCAGCTTTATGGTAATTTCATTGATTGTTTATCTATCGAATGAGGGATTTAATACCTGTACATTTAGGGTGTTGATGCTCCACACATTTTCATGGCGGTTGTGGTATGGTATTTATCACTTGAAGAAGAAGAAGGAAGAGAATCACTAGTCAAAAGATTTTAGAGCCAAACTTGTGGTAAAATAATGCCAAGTCATTGATTTAACATGACACATCAGCTTTCCATCACCCATGTTAACGGTAGTTAACGTTGAGTGACCGAGTTGTTATAAATCAATAACGTTAGTGACCAATTTATTACAACCAATAGTATTAGTAACCAATTGTTACTTTAAAACTTAAGTAAGAAAAACAAAACCTTACTTAAACATTAGTAACCAGTTGTGTATTTACCCTACATTTTATCAGTATCGCTAATCTTAGGTGCGTTTGGTTCACGGAATGTAAGATTACCATTGGGAATAAAAGATTACCAGAGAATAGGATTACTGGGAATGTTGTATTTTGTGTTTGAATGGTTTACCATGAATGTAAGATTAATGCGTTTGGTTAAAGGAATAAAAGATTATTAAAATGTATATTGACCAAATTGTCCTTATTATATATTTATTTTTTAACAAGTTGAAAAATATTTATATATTTTCTTTAAAAAATTTAAATTCATAAAATTTATATATTTTTTTTTACAAAATTGAAAATATAAAAATGTCTAATGAAAAGGTAAAATTTTATTTTATCCCCTGAACTTCATATAAAATTTCAATTATAGATTTTTTTTTGTAAATCTAAAATAGTTTAAGGATAAATTTGTAATTTAACCTTCGTAGAATTTTTATTAATCAATGACAGAATAAGGATATTTTTGAAAGAAATTTTTTTAAGGGTATTTTAGTCCAAAACGTCGATAATCCAACAATACCTAAAGAAAGGGAGGTAATGACATTCCCGGTAATATATCCCAAAAAATCCACTATTGGTGATGTAAGATTACCGGGAATGACATTCCCGGCCAACCAAACGTGGTAATGTAGATTCCATTCCCATGAAAATCTCACATTCCCCTAACCAAACACACCCTTAATCTTCATTTTAGTATTTTTATCATCAATCTGTCTTTCAAATTTCATTTTATCGCTATCGTTAATCTTTAAACGTTTTTCATTAAAAAAAATGACGCGACTTAAATATATTCTGCCACATATATTTTTTAACATATATACGTTTAGAAACTCCATAATTTAAAAAAAATATTTTTTAAAAAAATAATTGGATGATTACAATTTAATATTTGTTCAAAATTTTTTATACAATTTAAAAAGCACATATATAACGGAGATACAATTGTTGGAAATGTCTCAGGTACGACAACCTTAATATACGGCTAAATAAAGGTACTACCGTAAACATTATTTTTTTTTTAACATTTCCAGTAAAGCGCTACCTAAAACATTATTTTTTCTACCGAAAATGTTAATATTGGGCGCTACTTAAAATGTTTAACATTTTTGGTAAAGCGTTAACTAAAACATTATTTTTTTACCAGAAATGTTAATATTGGATTCTATCGAAAATTAGTTAGTTAAAATAACATTTTCGGTAAAAAAATAATGTGTTGAAAACATTTTTGATATTTCGATATAACAAATTAAGTTAAATGAATTTTAAGATTTTTCCAAATGATTTTCTAAGTATATTCGATATAACTATTCGAATATCAAAACATTACTCTAAATCTTTCAAATGTCATTTTTAATCCTTACTCAAGTGTAAAATTAAGTTTTAATCTTAAAACAATCTAAAAATAATTTTACAAAGTATTTCGAACCATTTCAAAGCCAAAAATTTCATATTGCTCAGAGGGAACCGATTCCCCCCCAAGGGGGTACCGATTCCCCCTGAATGGTTTGGCTCCGAGAATTCCAGTATGCTCGGAGGGAACCGATTCCCCCCAGGGGGTACCGATTCCCCCCTTGTATAACGGTGGAAATATTTGAATTTTACACTTAGAGAACCGATTCCCCATAGGGGGTACCGATTCCCCCCACGCTCCAAGCTGTTTTATTAATTGTTTTCACACTAAAACGACTATATTATCTTCTCTAATCATCCCCAACGTTCAGAAGTGATTCAAGGTGTATTTAAGCAAGCTTAGAAGCCATTGATCAATAACAAGAAACATCAAACAATTAGAATCAAGAGAGAATCAAAGAGAAAGCATTAAACCTCAAGTTTGAGCATTTCAAGCCTATTTTTCATTCAATATTCATTTTTCTTTCAAGAACACTTATTGTGCTCAATTGTATTTATTCTTGAGTGTTCTTTCTTTGTTCTAGAATTGTGCAAACATATTTGTCTTGTGAGGTTTTTCTTGTAAGTTTGCAAATTTGTATTTCTCTTTGAGAAAAGAATGATCTCAAGAATTGGGGTATATTCTTGAGGGAGTTGTAAGGTTATCTCTTTGGCCTCAAAAGAAAGAACGAATTAGTGAATTTGTTGGAAAATCCTTAGTGTGGATAGCTAAGGTAGTGGACGTAGACTTTGGTTGATAAAGTCGAACCACTCTAAATCGCTATGCAATTTCTTTCAATTTTCTGCAAAAGCTTCCACCAAAATTTTTTATTGCCAATTCACCCCCTCTTGGCCGATTCCGTCAATCGATTAACTCAACAATTGGCATCAGAGCCTAACTCATTTGAAGGTTTAATCGCCTCTTGAGTCGATTCGGGAAGAGTTATATCGATAATCAAAGTCATCAATGGCCTCCGTTTCAAACTTCGATTCCGGTCTCGATTCGATGCCCGTCAACATGCCTCCTTTCTTCAATGGAGCTAACTATGCCTATTGGAAGAATAAGATGATGTACTTTATTCAAGCAAGTGACATGGGAGCATGAAATTCCGTAGAAGAAGGATACATCAAACCTCTCACTCATCCAAGGTTGTGGAGTGAAGGAGAGACAAGAATGTTCCAGCTCAACTCCAAAGCCATCCATATCATTTTTTGTGCTCTTGGACCAGATGAATACGAAAGAGTTTCATCGTGTACAACCGCCAAAGAAATATGGGACAAACTTCAAGTCACTCATGAAGGTACCGATGAGGTAAAGAAATCTAAAATTAGTATTCTAACGCATAGCTATGAAAATTTCAGGATGAAACCAAATGAAGATATCAAAGCTATGACGGATAGATTTTCAACGATTGTCAATGGTCTCAAATCATATGGAGAGATCATTTCAAATGAAAAGCTTGTGAGGAAGTTAGTCTACTCCCTCCCAAAATCGTGGCAATAAAAGAAGACGACAATCATCGAGTCTAAGGACTTAACATCCTTAACTCTAACTTGTGCTTGATGGCATTCGGGGAAGATTCTAAGGTAACCTCTAACTCATCTGATTTTGATGATTTATCCTATGATGAGTTATTAGAGGAATATAATGGGTTGGCTTCGGATTATGAGAAATTATTTTTAAAATATAAAAATGATGTTTCAAAATTGAAAAATGAAAACAAACTCATATCCAAAACCAACAACGATCTTGAAAGTAAAATCAAAGATTTGCGAATCAAACTAGAAGAGTTTGAAAAGAAAAATTTAGATTTGCAAAATTTACTTTCAAAGATTAATGATGATCATTGTTAACTTCCTAAAAAGGCTACTTTTAAAGCCTTTTTCACTTAAGTTATTGTTTGTTTAAAAGCTCATTTTAGTCATTTTAGGATCATGTAGTTGCATATAGTTGCATTTGTGGTGGTTGTACTATTTTATTTCTCAATGGTGCTGTTTGAGGGAAAGGTGCAGTTTGTCTATGGTGTGCAGGAAATAGCAAGGAAAAGGATTCTTTGGGAAGTAATGCCGCGGCATCACACGTTGCTAAAGCAAATTGAAATGCCTTGGCATTTCTGGCGCAGAAAAAGACAAAAAGATATTTCTGCATAAGGACAGCTGGCACTGGACAGCTGTCCCTGCACATGGAGGACTGCTGTAACCTCCTGCCAGAGCTACCAATGGACCACTGCCACTTGGAGGATAAGGTTCATGCACAAAATGTGATTCTAGGGGTATGAGGGGTATTTCGCACCCAACAAACTCATCATTACCCCTAGATATTTTATTTATTATATATGACACCTCATGGGGGAGAAAAAGAGGAGGGTGAGCACACGCATAGAGCAGAAAAATTCATATTTTTATTTTCTCTTTTTCCTTGGAATATTCCTCCATTGATAAAGCTCCAAGGAGTGGCAAGCTAGGCGCCGAAAGGAGCTAGCGAGCTAGGTGGTTTGTGGTGGCCGATAAGAGACCTCCGGTGGCGCGTCGAAGGCTTCTTCTCACTTCCCTTTTTGCTGCTAATTCTTTATATTATTTTGTGGGTTGTTGGAACGAATTTTCATGACTTTGTGTTTGGATATTTCGAACCCCACCATGAACTAACTTATTTGGTGGTGGTTGGTTGAATGTTTTTAAACTTTATTTTAATGGTATATTTAAGTTTATTTTGGTTCTTTATTTGCTTTGCTTATGAATGCTTCACCATCTAGGCTTGTAAGAGGCATGGAAATGTCCATCTCTTAGATGAAGGTTAGGTATTCAGAAGAATCCTAAACTAAAAATACTTGTAAGCATTCGGAAGAAACGCAAGATAAGATCCTCATAAGTAATGGGTTATGGTATTTTCAAGGGGCTTTGAACCGGCCTAGGAATATTATAACTTAATCCCTTAGATCTCGGAAGAGACTAGGTTAGGATTTCAACAACTAAAAAGGGTGTCTTCATCAATAGGGTAGGCTATCCAACATCGTTGAGTGAGAGCAGATGCCTTGGCATCCTATTCTGTTAGGTTCTTTTGAATACCTTAGGAAAGCCCTGTCGAGTAAGTAAAGACAAGATAGCTTAAATATACTTGAGAAATAAGTTTAGCAACCTTATACCAATCCTTACCATTCATTTCATTGGAAGCTTGTCACGTGAGGATTATTTTCTTCTTATTTTATTTATCTTTTTAGTTACTGTTTTTACCATTTCTCATTGCCTTGACATTTCACCATACTCAATATTAAACATCCATCATTGCCGCTGCATTTCCATTTGCTACACGATCACACCATCAATCCGCATCCACCAACATACACATATCCATTACCGTGACATTTGTATATATCAAGACTAACTATACTTAGATAATTTAATGCGTTGCTTTGGTTAGGCTTTCGTAATTTCACCCAATCCCTGTGGAGACGATACCCACTCATCATTATATTACTTGAGCGATTGTGTATACTTGCACATTATTTGCGTATATTTTATAGTACTCACAAAACGCAACAAGTTTTTGGCGCCGTTGCCGGGGATTGGCAACCTGAAGTTATTTAGTTTTGCTAGAGCATTTTTTTTTTGTGTATTTTTATTTTTGTATAATTTACTTGATATTTTTGTTTTATTTTTCAGGTTTATTTAGTGTATGCCTAGAAGAAATTCTGAAGAGCCTTTGGAACCAATAGAACCTGAGATTGAAAGACTCTTTAGAAGAAGAAGACGTGCTCAAGGAAATATGTATCAGATTGGAAACCAAGGCATTGGTCAAGATGACGGAAATCAGAATGCCGCGGTATTAAACAATGCTGAACCTGCTATTAGGCCTCGTGTTATTCGAGATCATTTAAATCCGATGCTGGATGATCTGAATCCTGGGATTGTGGCACCCGAAATTCAAGCTGCACATTTCGAGCTGAAACCAGTCAGTTCATGTTTGCCATTGGGCAGTTTGGGGGTATGCCAACTGAAGATGCCAGGCAACACATTCGCAATTTTCTGGAAGTTTATGATTCTTTCCGCCAAGAAGGAGTGCATGAGGATTTTCTGAAATTAAAGCTTTTTCTGTATTCATTGTGTGACCGAGCAAGGGCTTGGTTGAGTGGTGTACCAACCGGTTCGATGGAATCATGGGCCGATCTTTGCAAGAGCTTCTTATTGAGGTACAACCCACCGAATATGAATACGCAGCTAAGGAGTGAAATATCATCTTTTCGCCAGGGCGACGACGAATCCATGTATGAGTGTTGGGATCGTTACAAGAGTTTGCTTCGAAAGTGTTCAAATCATGGTTTTCATGCTTGGACTCAAGTAGTCATGTTCTATAATGGAGTCAATGCACCCACGAGGATGTTACTGGATGCCTCGGTAAATGGGACATTGCTGGATAAATCACCTACGGAGGCGTTTGCTATCTTGGACAGAATTGCTAACAATGATTATCAATTTCCTTCCTCAAGACTTGGGAGTGGGAGGAGAGCACCTGGAGCATTCGAGTTAGAAGCCAAAGATTCGGTGTCCGCTCAACTCTCCGCTATTACTAATATGTTGAAGAACTTACAATGTTCCACTGATGTGAAGGAAGTGAAAACAACTAGTCTGGCATGTCTGTTATGCCAAGGCAATCATCACGAGAGCAAATGCCCAACCAACCATGAGTCCATCAACTTTGTTAGTAATTACAATCGAGGCAGCAATAATCCTTACTCAAACACTTATAATACTGGATGGCATCAGTATCCTAATTTTTCATGGGGAAATCAAGGAGCCCACAATGCTAATTAACATACTAGGCAACAGAATCACAATGAGCCTCAAAGTTACCAAAATGCTATGCCATGGCATAATACTAACAAAGGAGCTTCATCTTCAGCAAGCATAAGTTCCTTAGAAGCTTCAATTCAAGAATTCATATCTACTAAGAAGACAATGCTGCAAGACCATTCTACTTCAATTAAGAATCAAGGAGCTTTACTTCATAGTCAAGGTGCCTTACTTCAAAGCCATAGCTCGTCTCTGAGAGCTTTGGAAGGTCAAGTTGGTCAGATTGCTACGGCATTGCAAGAGCGTCAGCAAGGACGTTTTCCAAGTGATACTGAAGTCACTAAAGGGCCTAGAAAAGAGCACTGCAATGTGTTAACTCTTAGGAGTGGAACACAAATCAATCGACAAGTCAAGGATAGTGGGCCACAGCATGATGATTCTAATCCCACTACTGAAGCTGAATTACAAGATGATATAGTTTCTGAGAAGGACAAGGAGGAGGATTCTGCCAAGGTACCAGATTCTGATGCTAAGGCAAAAGAAAATTCTATTCCTACAGCTAAGAGACCTCCCCCACCCTTCCCGCAAAGATTGAAGAAGCACAATGATGAAGTTCAGTTCAAGAAGTTCGTAGACATTCTTGATCAGCTCCATATCAATATACCTCTCTTGGAAGCTGTTGAACAGATGCCGATGTATGCCAAATTTCTGAAGGACATCTGTACCAAGAAGAGGAAAGTAGAGACTGTTGCCACGGCAACAGAATTTTGTTCTTCATTGAGTAAGTTGCCGCCAAAGAGAAATGATCCGGGCAGCTTCATTATTCCTTGTTCAATTGGAGCTAATTTCGTTGGAAAGGCTTTATGTGATCTTGGTTCAAGTGTCAACTTAATGCCGAAATCGATATTCTTGAAGCTTGGCATAGGAGATGCAAGACCCACCTCAGTTATTTTATAACTTACCGACAAATCCCATGTTAAACCTGAAGGGAGAGTCGAGGATGTCATAGTAAGGGTGGACAAGTTTGTGTTTCCAGTCGACTTCTTAATTCTGGACTGTGAAGTTGATGCTAAGGCACCAATCATTCTGGGAAGACCTTTCCTAGCTACTGGACGTATCTTGATAGACTGTGAAAAATGTGAACTCACCATGAGAGTGGCTGATCAGTGTGTGACTGTCAATGTTTTTAGAACGCTCAAATATGTTGATGACACTGAAGAATGCCAAGGCATTTCTGAATTGAACTCAGTGATTGAAGAAGAGACTGAACATATTTGCCAGAACAACTTCATTCAGCTAGCAGAAAATGAATATTGGGTGGATGATGAAAGCTTAGTGGAGTCCGATGACTTTCCAATTTTGGAGGAGCAATCTAGCTTAGTACAAGTTAGATCAGGTATGAATTTTGAACCTCTGAATTTTGATGAATTCATTTCTCCTAAGCCTTCATTATTGCATGCACCCAATCTAGAGCTTAAGACTTTGCCAGGGCATCTTAAATATGTTTACTTAGGTAGCGATGAGACTTTATCGGTGATTATTTCCTCTAACCTTACTGCTAACCAAGAGCAAAGTTTGTTAAGTGTTTTGATGCAGCATAAGAAAGTAATTGGTTGGACTATGGCCGATTTGAAAGGCATTAGTCCCACGATCTACATGCACAAGATTCTACTAGAAGATTGCCACGGCAATTCAATTGAACCACAAAGAAGACTCAACCCTGTTATGAAGCAAGTGGTGATGAAAGAAATTCTGAAATGGCTTGATGCTGGAGTGATCTACCCTATCTCCAATAGCTCATGGGTGAGCCCTATCCAATTGTTCCAAAGAAGGAGGCACGACGGTGGTTACGAATGAGGATAATGACTATTACCCACTCGCACTGTGACCGGATGGAGGATATGCATGGACTATCGAAAAACTCAACAAAGCTACGAAGAAGGACCACTTTCCTCTACCTTTCATCGACCAAATGTTGGATCGATTGGCCGGCAAAGCATTCTATTGCTTTTTGGATGGGTACTCGGGGTACAATCAAATTTCCATCGCACCAGAGGACCAGGAGAAGACTACATTTACTTGTCCCTATGGCACTTTTGCCTTTAGGAGGATGCCTTTTGGACTCTGTAATGCCCCGACAACGTTTCAGCGCTGTATGCAAGCTATATTTTCAGATATGGTTGAGGATTTCTGGAGATCTTCATGGATTTTTCTGTTTGTGGGGATGATTTTGAACGATGCCTCGGCAATTTAGCAAAAGTTCTCAAGAGATGCGAGGAGGCTGAGTTGGTCTTAACTGGGAAAAATTCACTTCATGGTGACTGAAGGCATTGTATTAGGCCACAAAATTTCACACAAGGGTATTGAGGTAGACAAGGCGAAAATTGAAGTGATTGAAAATTGCCACCACCAACTTCGGTCAAGGGAATAAGAAGTTTTCTTGGACATGCTGGATTTTATAGAAGATTTATCAAAGACTTCTCCAAGGTTTCTAAGCCCTTGCACATTGCTTCAACAAACCAACCCTTTGTGTTGACGAATTATGCCTCGGCGCATTTACTGAGCTGAAACGACAACTGATCTCGGCACCCATTGTAGTCCCTCCCGACTGGACATCACCATTTGAGCTGATGTGTGATGCAAGCGACTATGCCGTAGGAGCTGT